GGTGCAGCCCTACTTCAAGTACTGACGTGGTTAAGGCTGGAAAGGCCACTTGTTCCTTTCCCTTTCTTGATGGTGATCTAGGATGTTTTCCTCTTATTAATCGACCGGCATGATCGACGGGTTGTTGTTATTGAATCGGTCTCGGATCTCTCCTTTCTGGGGGTTGGTTTTGCACCGCTGGCCGACAAGTACGTAAACTGTTATGAGAACAACTCAAGCACATGGTCGTTGTATGTTTGATGGAGTAATTGTGATATGCTTGATTCAGCCACTTAAACATACTAGAATTGCCTAATTTCATCCATTTACACTCGTTGAAATTGCCTCAGTTCAGCTGCAAGTTGCTAAGTGCAGTGATAAGTTGATGAGATAAGGGTTTCTCTATGGTCTGTCTATTTAAGACCAGCAAAAAAATTATGCTCACACAACGAGGTTACCTCTCCTTTGGTTATGAGGTGAATTATAACTGCAATTGGATACAGATCCGCCTTTGTCATGAACGACCAAACATCATTCAGAGTAGGTTGGCTTCACCTCATCCACCAGATCCTCAAAATCTCCTTTGATTTGACTTTTTTTACATCCCTCATACACCACTTGCTCAATTCTCATTAGATCATTTTATTCCCTCACTTATAACTTTGTCACCACCACATCCATGAACTTGACCTCTCTAACCGTCATCGAGCAAACTTGCAGCAAATGCTCATGCTCTTTGGGAATGGGCCTGCTCCAATACAAGATGGTATGGTGGAAAGAAAAAAGAGGAATAGAGAAATCAAAGATCGAATTGATTGAAATAATAGGAAGCTTACAATCCAAGCTTCTAGCTCTATGGTGAAACCAAGATTTTGAACAAAATGATCTAAGTTTGAAAGCAAAACCCTGATACGACCACTATTTATAATAAAAGATCGACTTAAATTCCAAGGAATCCTAATTCTAATTGAAAAAAAGAAGTCCTGATTAAAACAAAATTTGTGATAACTTTTTTGCCCTTGATAAAATAAATAATTCCATAATAACTCCTAACTAGCTTAATCAAGCATTGATGTTGAGGCCTATGAACTTTTTATTGTAGTAATCACATTGACAAAGTTGGTGAAATTTTTGTTGGGATTGGCATCTAAAAGCTGCATGAGTGCTTGAATTCTCATTCTAGAGGTAATTATTGAACTGGAGAAGATATTGTATCTCATTTTTATCTAAGATGCCTTTTTTTAGGGATTGTACTTTTTGTTCAAATTTAGTTATCACTTGCATTAGTTGTGAAATTCATTTATGTTTAGAGCTCAATTTTACTGAACTTGTACCGGAATTGAGGTTTGATATTCAAACCAGCAATCCTTTCGGGAGAGGTGCAACTATGTAGTGGAAGACCCTAAACAGCCTCACTATTCTTCAAGCTACCATTAATCCATTCCAGGTCAGTTATGTCACTTTTTCTGCTCTATGACGTGACATAATATTTCTAATGGGCAATCTTAATACTGATTGTGACACACATGACCAGATTGATTTCAAGTTAATTAAACCCTGGTAACGCACATTCCATAATATCGTTTTATAGCATGTTAATCATGTTTCTCTCTCGAACTCTAATTTACGTGGGGAGCAAATGGTCTTATGAATTAGGGAATGGGAGGAAGGGGCTGTGGTCAAGAATAAAGAGGAGGGTAGGTAGTCATAGCGGAGTTGACTGCATGGTTGCTTGAGAAATTTCAAGCCTGGTCATGGAGCGAGGTATTGCTTGCTTGGATTACCATGATTTGACATTCATTTGGTGAGGTCTAAAATGCATGGACGGACGGTCTGTGGGAATAGAAAGATGCTCTTTTCTTTTTGGTGATGGCGGAGGAAAGGACAATGACACTGCAAGGGTAGCGAACCAAAAGGCTAGATTGTGGATGGTAAGGTTGGGGAATGTTGCAGGTTGGGTGGGAGGAAAGGTTAGGTTGTGGTTGGGGAGCTTTTGAAACGCTTGCAATGGCCTTATTAATCATTTGATAAAAATGAATGACCAAAACCAATCCAATTATTAATTTGTCTATAATTCATCAAAATCCTTATGTGCATATTTTGATAGAACCAAATGAGTTGGTCAATCATTATATCTAGTTGCTGTCAACAAGCATATATGTTGGTAACAAATATTCACCAATTTGTATTAATGTATACTTGGAGATTTGGCGGCTTTGGCAAAACTTAAGGCTATTTAGTTCTCTTTTCCAACCTGAGCTTGTTTTTCAATAATGCTTTTGTGTTTTATGATTCTAGTTTTTTCTTTGGCCTCCAGGATGGTGTTATAACTTACTGATAAGAAAATATACATTGTTTATAATCTTGCTTGCTCTATTGTTTTGTGTACGCAATTAACTGTAGTAAAGCTAGACTTGGACATTGTTCAAAATCTTGTTTGCTCTACATTTTTTTTTTTTTTAAAGTATAACACTTCTGCTTTTTTGTCGATTTATCATTTTGGAATTTGATGTGGTCTTTAGATTTGTTTTTGAATCCTTCTATTAACATCGGGTTTTGGAGAGGGTGTTTAAAATTGTTTTTGTAGGCTCTTAGTAGAATTCCAACATTTCCCTGACAGCTTCCATTCCAAATTATATATGAAAGAATAATAAGAAAAACATGGCTACCGACACTGTAACAAGTGTCCGCTTCAGATCTGTTTCTAAAATGTTGGACAGCCTACGTTTGTTTTTAAAAAAAAGTATTCCAAATGTATATAAATAAAAAAACAATGCTTTGAAAGCATGTGATTTGAAATAATGGGGGAAAAAATGTGAAGGGAAAAGATTGAAACCTGGGATATTTGATATAAGATAAAAGATAAATGAAACTAGGACTTAGGATATCGCATTGCTACCCAAAAATAACTAACCACTTTGCTAAGCCAAATCTGTGTATACGTGTGTATGAGAGAGAGAGAGAGAGAGAGAGAGGACACCCATGCATGGGAAGCTAAAAGGTGGATATAATTCGGATAAAAAATACCTTCCATGGATATATTTTGCACTTTCATCATCCAAATGAAAATTTAATTGTTAACTAACTATAAATGCAACTGAAGTTAAATAAACATTTAGGGAAGGCCCGAATGTGTAGAGTGTTTAGTAGGCTTTGCAACAAGTAAGTGATTCTCAAGCAATATGTTAATAAGATGCATATTTTAGTCCACATAAGCCTCCCAATATCCATGGCATCTTTACACATGAACCCAAACTTTGCTCTCTCTCTACAGGTTTCATATTTGTCACAATCTTTCAACTCCTTGTTGTTCGCCATCATCACTTTCAAAATAAACAAAGAACCGGAGAAAAGATATATAAATCGTTATCAAAAATAATGTAAACACCAACATTCTAAATAAATGATGGGCTACAAGACTTCGATGAGCGTTCAAGGTTCTGGGCTCATGTAGACACTAAGAATGTGACACACATGTCTAACACTACAAAAACTAAAATAGTTTCATCGCTTAAAATCCCACCTCCCGACCCATTGAATATATATATATGAATGTGTTGTATCTAGACTGAAATGTATATTGGGGTATGACACTGACACTCATACCCATATCCTTGTAACATAGGTGATGGAGCTTTCTTATTTCTTAAAACAAATGGAAGAGCACCTTGATATTTTTCAAGAAACAAAAATATTTGTTGAGGGAAAGTAATTTATTTGGAAGAAAGCATAGACCTATCTTGGGCATCTTACAAATGGTTTTGTGAAGAACTCACTGCTTAAAGTAAGAACTATAGCCGCTTCATGAAACAAAGAGAAGCAACACCCTTGCAGTGAATGTTCTTCAGAATCCACAGTTAACATGTTAGTCAAGTGCCATTATTTGAATTATGCAAAACAAGATAGAAAATCTAGGAGTGTAGCAGTGCTAGTATTAGGTATCCTGCTCTAACAAGAAATTGTGGCTGCTGTATTTCAAACACCATGCAACAACTAGTTTTCAAAACAAGAACTATGCTCTTATAGGATATTTAGCCATTTTCTGAAACTACAAGTGACAACCAAGACTTTTTCGATAATATAATGCAGCAAATTGGAAATTTAAACTCATTTTCACGAAGAAAGAGTAATAAATTACTACATTTTTACAAGTAAGCTCTGATCAATTGCTTTTGAGAAATCAAATTGGCGGTCTGCATCTACTACCCAGCTGGTGAACCATGTAGTTGTATGGAAACCTTCTTTGCATATCCCCATATTGTATAGAAATCCTACATCTATATCAGAACAATGAAGAAAGTAACACTTTGAAGAAGGTTCTTCCAAAAACTGGTCATGATTCTTATTTGATGGTCACTAATTTTATCTGAAAGCAAATGGGCACAACTAGCTGCTGGACGAAAATTGACTCCCAAAATAGATATCCTTTTTCTTATATATTCCAGCCAATTGCCGAAAAGAACGGGGTTCCTAAATGAAATATCTTCACAAAATAATGCAAGAAATAAATGAATATTTTTTTAAAAAAATAATAATAAAAAGAAGAAGGAAAAACCAGCCATGAAATGAAGCAATTCATTCCTACAGGGAACTTAAAATTCTGGTTCATTTCACTTGAACTATGAACTATGCACATTTCACATTAACTGTGAACTGTGCACAATAAATTATGTATAATTTAATAGTGCTCTAAATGAACATTCAGATATTTCTGTATTACATGTCCATGCATATGCTTATGTGTTCAATGATCCTATGATTTCATAGAATGCTAATTCTCTATCTGTGTATCGTTCACAGGATATATACAACAGATACAAGAACCAGATTGTAAAGGATCAAAGGTATTTGTATACTAGAGAATAGGGGATTACTCATGTAAGATTTCCATTGGCAAAGATGATGACAGCATGTTTACACCTCTCAGGCTGCAATTGTCTCCTAGTCCATTATGTTGCTGAGTGTGGCAGCACCTTAAGGTAAAGTTTGCAAGCACAATTTTAATATGAAATAAAGAATGCAGTAAATTACCGAAACCAATAATACTGACAAAGTTATCTTCACATGCATTCCCTAGTTAATTATTGGGTGACAAACTGAATTTGCCAACCTGTGGCAGGACCACATAAATGTTTCTCAATTGCAAGGTAAGAAACACCCCCTAAAGTCTACACATTATTCAAGTCCAAATCATCAACTGCAATAGTTAAGTTAGACGTTAGATGCGCAAGGGGGATGTAAATTGACAGTATTCAATAAATACATCTATACATGTAATGTTAAATATTGTTTGCTTATCATGTTAAATGTGTTAGAAAACCAAATGAGCTCCCATTAAAGATAGCCTTCATTAGTTTAATAGTGATTATGTATGGAACTCAAGGCCCCTGCAAGGTCCCCTGAGCATTGGGCCCTCTAGCACTATTACAACTCAATTTGTTTAATGAACTTTCATCGTGCAAGAGCAATTTGAGGGTGGACCAATGCAACCCATGGAAAAAGCATTCTGCCATTACTGACCTGGTTATAGTATAAAAACTCGACATTCCTCTTAACTTGATGGTGAAGCGTTTCAACAGATTGCTATGAAAGGAAGGGTCCATAGCTAATGGATTATGGATGATTGCAGTACTTCATGAACCCACATCTTGAAGGGAGCCATGCCTCAACAGTTGGAGCTCACTACAAAATAAATTCTTTCACCTTTGTATATGATATTCCATCATTTCACAGAGATAATCAGGTATGTTGTCACTTGATGAGTTCTTTTGTGCTTTGAATGGATACAAGATGTATCATAGCATACTGCCTAAACTTTTCAAGATGAATATTATAGTTCTACTGTTTCAAGATGAGTTGAATTTGTAAGCTGAGGGAAACCATTATATTCTTACTAAATGTATTTACTTTGCCTTAAGCTTTCTATCATCTTCCCAGTGGTAGCTGACCAAGTCTCGAATGCAAACAAAGTTCTCTTTAGGCATGTTGTTTGATTCGAGGTTTAGAATGGAACTGTCCAATGATGAAATTCGAGACCTGATAATCCTGCTTTAACCCCTAAATCCAAATTTCCTTCCTCATCATGGCAGGGACAAGATGGTGTAAGAGCCAGCTAAATTAGGGTTCTTTTTGGCAGAACATCTTTCTATAAGATGCTTTGGCCAAGTGATCTTCCCCTGCCATTACCAGCGAGGTATGGATCTCCCCAGCCCGGCCCAAAACCTAGCTTCTAGATTGGTTGTTGATTAGCAAAAAGGCTCTCATGGTGGACCACATCCAGCGTGGGGGAATACACTTCACTGACATATACAAATGTATCATGTACAAAACAAAACTAGGAATCAATTGGGCTAGTAGGATTTCTATTTGCACCTGGAGACTAAACTGGTGTTTGAATATTTTTGAGCCCACTAAATCTCTTGAGGTGTCTTCCTAACACGTATGGCATGAAGCCAATGCTATCATGGATAGCCTCACCAAAGAGGGAGCTTCCCAAACAATCTTGTAACCTTGGTCTAGTGGGCAGTCCCTTTTTGTTTCTTTTTTGTACAATTTTGTCTCTGTTCTTTATTAATTAACTGTTTAAGAGGTCTGGTTTTACACTTGTATAAGTAATCCGAAAGAGCAAATAAAGAAAAAAAGAAGTAGTTTCTTTCCTTGTGGAACTTGCATAATATCTACAGTTGACTTTATCATTTGCCTGTTGTTCATGAAAATGGGAATGGATTTTGAAATAGTATTAATTTCTGGAATTAAATCTTAGGTTTTGTAAAGAAATATTGATTTTACTTATGGGAATAATCACAGAAAAAAAAAAGCAAAGCAAAGCCTCTAACATAGTTTGGAAGTAAAAAGATGCATAATCTGTTAGCAAAATAGCTAGAACTCCTTGAATATTTTGCGACCCTCATTTCTAGTAGACAAGAATTAAAATAATTAGTTTATTTTTTTTATCAGTAGATGGAGGCCAGAATCTATGCAGTGATTATCTATGTGGCCAGTAATTTCCAAGATGCTTTTCTTTTTTTCTCAAAGCAGCTTTTCCTAGATATATTTGATACTCAAGTTATCCTTGATTCCGTTGTAAGTATCTATACTACCAAGACTCTTGTAGCTACTTTGTTAGCTATCCAACTTCATATACCTCCTTATGAAGAGTATTTTCGTTCACCACATTTTTGATATACCACAACATTTGTGTTGCTTTCTTGTCTTTCAAATTATCTTTATTTGAAAATGATATTCTTTATGAGCATTGTATGCTACAAACATGACATGTTCATATTTTGCCTCTTTTTTTTCGGCAACCTTAATCAAAGTCCTTTTATGGTGTATCTGCAGTGTTCTATTTAGAGATGAACTAGTTGGAGAGTACTACATGCACTGGTCCAGTGAAAGCAACCGCCAAAATAGGAAGGATAAACAAAATTTCGTACGCCACACTTGCGTTTCTTATGGTTTATGTCTGCTCTTTTTTTTTGCCTTGTAATTGTAGGTGTGATATGTTATGTTAGTAAGCATTGTTAAATTAGGAGAGCTGCATATTCTTTTCTTTTTTATTTTATTTTTATTAAAAATAATTGTGGATGTCATGGTGAAGACTCTTTTTCTCTCTCTCTCTCTCTCTCTCTCTCTACTCTCTCT